AATTATTTCTCTCCTCATCATCCTCAGTCTCAGCTAAAGCAGGGCAGGGTACAATGTACTAAGAGTGAGCTCCGTTTGGTGACTAAATACCTCATTGTTGGATAGAATATTAGAGAAAAATAAAACTGCCTTAGTTGGTTGCTGTCAGGAGAGAGAGGGGTGCTGCTGAGTTTTGCCTTTTTTGTGTGGTTGGTTTTTGGTTTGTGGTTTTTTTCACCTAACCTGGACAAAGCCACTCCCATGGCAGAAAGTCTAGTTGCTTGTTTGAGAGCATCAGATTAGGATCATTCACCTCTTATGACATGCAGAGATGGCACTGATGACTTCAGAACCTTAAGAAACTACCAAAAAGCAAAACCAGTCTAAAAGTAGTGTCTTCCCAACGTGTCTTCTTCCTTAGAAGTATCGAGAACTCTTAAGTTCTTCCTCTCTGTGTTTTTCCTGGAAGTCTCTCATGGTCATCTGTGCTCCCTCCCTGCCCACAGGCTCCATCTCTGTATCTTCATCCTGGGGTGCCTCGCAGAGGTCACAGTGGTTTTCCCTGTGTCTCTGCCTCTGACCCATTTCCAGGGATGTCCGGTCGTGGCAGATGGTAGCGCACCTGCAAGGTTGGGCTTGGCTTGGCAGGTGTTCAGAGCACACACCCAGCGCCGTGGGCCTGCCGGGCGGGCACGGCTCTCGAGGATTATTAGACTGGGAGGTTTCTCAGTCGTTTCTGAAAGGAGTGGACATCACATCTTCAAGAGATTTGAGTGAAAGAAGAGTTGACAGATAGATGAATCTTACTACATGAGTAGCAAAACTTATTTTTCCTCTGAACATCTTGTCAGATTGTACTTCCTTGATGTTTGGGCTGTTAGACTTCAGCTGATTATGATGAAATTCAGTCCAGAATACATGAGATCACTATTGTAATGTCAGAACCAGTAGCAATTACTTTTCAAAATTCATAGAAACAAGTTAAATAAAAAAAAAACCTAACATGATGCTTAGTTTTAGAATGAGCAAAGGTGAGAGAATCAAGGCAGCCTAGCTTCTATTGCCAGTAACATGTTGAAACATGGTAAAAATATTTACAAGCATCTGTGCATTGATTCAGCAACTCAATATTGCTCTTAAAAGGGAGGTTGGGGAGAGGTGGGGAACCAGCGCTATGGTGAGATATGAAGCAGGTGAGCAGTACATAAGATCTGGAGCTATATTGAACTAGAGTGGTGTACTATTTTGGACACGAGACTTAAAAATGAAGTGAATTCGCCCAGGAGAGACAAGAGGAAAGCTAATAATGCAATCTAAATTCAGGAAATCCTGTTTTATGATTCTTCAAGTGAGATTAAAGCATTGGAAACTGAGAAAAGAAAGCAGGTAAGGTACACATGAGAAGTTTTCAGATATGTGAAGGGTAATTGTGAAAATGGAATTGTGCGGTTTGATGAGAGCTTTATCAGTGTGGTAAGGAGGGAGATTTGGTTTGAGATTAAGACATCTCAGTATAGGTGTTTGAGTTTCTGTTATCGTAAATGGAGATGCAGTGGATGCAGAGTGCACCTAATTGGTTGGATCAAATTGTGCTTTCGAAGCAAATCTCCAGAGTGTGTGAATCTGATCCCTCCTGGGTGAAACTGTGTTGAGATGCATCCATTTGCTCATGGGTGTTTGGTCTGTGGGACCATGCTAATGCTAGTCTGAAATAACGACGACAGAACATGGGTTTCATGGTGTTGGGTTTTCAGCAGAAACTGCAAATCCTCTCATATTTGGCTTACAGAGTAGACATAGCTGCAGTCAGTGGAGTCCAGAGAGAAATAGCAGATGTAGGCTGGCTTTGGAGTGAATTGAACTGCTCTCTGATCTTGTTGGCTGTATTGGCTGTATTTCTGTTGAGTATAACAGAAGTTTAGGGGCTTAGCATTCATTTAGACATGTAAAATTGTGTGCCTTAATATGAAACTGAATCTCGTCCAAACAGCCATATGATCAACCTGCAAAGAGCTAAAAAAGCAGGATAATAAAATGAGGATGAAAATTAACAAAAATAACAAAAATTAACAAAGACTTTCCATCTGCAAGGTTAGCTTGGCACTGCCACTAGGTTAGCTGGTGAGGCTGTTGGGACCTCCATCACTCGTTTTTAAGAATAGGTTAAACAGTTGTCAGGAAGCTGTTAGGTGTAATTTCTCCTGCCCCAGGGCCAGGAGATGGGCTAGCAGAGATGATCCCTTCAGCCTGCATGGAAGATGTCCACTCACCCATCTTCGTTACCAAACTGACTCACAGGAGATGCGAGACCAAATTTCCCGACACACAGCATATATGAAAGACCACATTTCTAGGACTTAACTGTTTCATAGTGCAGCAAATGCAGACACATACCTTCTTGCTTACTCAGTCTTCATCTTTACATTAAAACCTAAGCTGTGTGTTCAGAATCTGTCCTTTAGTCACTTCCTGATTCTGCATGAACATGCGATGATCTTCAAGGTCTTTTCCAACCGAAACCATTCCATGGATTTGGGCAAGAGCAGCCTTGCACTCTCTATAGATAGCAGGCACTCCCTTCTTTCCCCGGCCCTCTCGCCTACTCCTGCTGCTTCCCTGTAGTATTTCATTCCATTTGTATTACTTCAGGCCTCGGATTTTCCACCTCGTTTTCTGTAACCATCCTGTTGTCTTCTGACAATGCCTTCTCAGCTCTGTGTCATCAGCAGGTGTCGTCAGTGGATGTCTGGGTTTTGTGCCAAATCACAGGCAGCGCTTTCCTGCTCTTAGTAAGCCATTCAATAGGAGGCAGCTCTAGGATATCTTATAAAAAGAGAAATTCAGAATTCAGCACCTGTTGGTTATGCGACTTTTGCCTTTTTCTGGAAGAAAATGTTATTGAAAAGTGCTTTTCCCCTTTTTAAAGTTTTTGGAACCTTTGAGAATTTTAAAATAAAATGTAGGACCCCCTTATATGTTTGTTCCATGTGTATTTAAGCATCTTGTAAATAAAATCACCATCTTAAACACATTTTGTAGGTACCTTAGAAGTCTCTTGTGAGATTACCTGTAGACTATAGATTGAAAAGTACAAGAGCAAAAAAGTATTTTTTACTGTCTTAGCAATAAAACAGAATGCTCTGAGACTGCGTTGCTACTAAGCAAATAAATTGATTTTTACTTTTAGTTACATTAATGAAAGACTTTCTGTTTAGAATGACTAATGGATTTTCTGCACTTTCTTGCTATGCATCTTTGTGAAGGACCTGCTTATTCTTGAATTTCACATGTGTTTCTTTATACTGTGGTTCTCAGTTTTCCAGTACAAGGAAACTTCTCACCTTGTGCCTCTTGTACAAGGAAACAGAAAAAGCAGAAACACTTTTCCATTTAATTAACCAGTTAGAACAAATAAGGATGTCCCTGATGGCATTTTGACAGCTATTCACCTTCCAAAAACAGTGCAGCTTCTGTTGGAAAACCTTGACTATAAACCAGAATTCTCCTTTTGCTCTTGCTGGTACAATCTCATTAATCATGAAAATAAATTTTAAAAAAGCCCATATGACTAATAAAACTAAGTAAGAATAAGAATATTAATGAAAACAGCTTGAACTAATGCGTAAGATCCTGTAGCCCTCACAATGCATATCCCTTAACTTAGTGCTTACTTATTTTTGTCTTCAAAATACATACATTGGGAAAACAGTTTTGTTCTGCAAGTTGAAACAGCACTACATTGCTCAACACCGACCACTGCGTTGCTGCATTGTGTGGGGAAAGCGATAACATCTTAAAAAAAAAAAATAAAAAGCTGTCATCAATGCAGTAGTCAAGGCTGAGTCAGAAGGATGAATAGGGAGAGCCCAGTCAACAGTCTAGAAACCAGTCAAAGAGAAGATAAAGAGATACTCCCTGACTCACTTCAGTAAAAAAAAAATTCACCTTTTCTGTGCCTGCTTTGCCTTAGGCATTAGTATTAAAAAAAATAAATCGCCTAAGATGAAAAATGTAGGTAGATGTCATAGTTCTGAGAGCACTAAAAGCATTGACTTCTCTGCCTGTACAAAAATCAAAAGCTCTATTTGTTGGTTTCCCATGCTGTAATAACCTACTTTTATCGTTGTTTCCCAATACCTACATTTTTGCACTGTTTGAGGGTTTTTGTTGCTTGCGGAGTCTTTGGTGCATGGAGAGCAGATGTAAACACAAGGCCTCTGATAATTTGGCTGATGACTTCAGTTCCTTCCATCTAGGATGGTGTTTACGGGCAGGCACAGCTGTGCTGGGCTATTGTAGTGCATGAAGAATTGGGCAATCTCAATACTGAACATTGGTGTGTAAGGTTTTGTGAAAGCAAGCGTGATTTGTGTGCTAGCATGCGCATCTCTGCTGTGCTTAAGTGCGAGATGCATGTACACCATTTATCCTCCCTGCAGGGTGCTAAGGAGAGAGCCGGTTCTGTCCTTGACACTTCAGCAGATGTTTTGATTGGTCCTTGCTTTTAAAGGTTATTTAACCTGTTTTGTTCTCTGATGTGGTTGGTAACCGACCACAGCCTGTATAATCCATGGTTTGCCCACAAGAGGGAGCTTCTCCAGGGCGCTGCTGGCAACCAACACTTCAGTCCGTGGCGAATTCCCATCATTTTGGAATACTAAAGTATTATTCAGTACTAAAAAAATGGCTGTTTAAAAATAACGATGAAGTCTGCATTTATTTATAAAAAAAAAGATTAATTGCTTATTACCTGTTTCCTATTGGGAGAAAAGTGCAAAACATAATAATACGTAATTACAGTTTATTTTTTTCTTATGTGAATGGTTATGGGTAAATTTTTCAGAAGCTATTGTGGGTAAATAGTAAATATTAATTGATCAGGTCAGGTGTCCTCTTTCTTATGATTTTGCTGTTCTTATGAGGTAGGTTTTGTCAGTTAGCTTTTGTCAGTTAAGGTTTGTCAGTTGAGTACTGCTAAAGTGACATAGAGTTAACAGTGATTGTCATAACTTCCATTGCAGATCTGCGTGAATTACGGAAGTGGACTCTATGTGAAGGTAAGCAATAATGGAAAATTGCTTTTCTTTATTAATGCCTGAAGAGGGGTTCTCTGAGCAGAGAGGAAGTGTCAAAGGCATGCTTTACTTCAGTTGATAAATACCTTGATTTTCACCATTTTCTGAAACATGAAAGCTGTGTAATGAATAATGAGATGAAAGCAGACATGTCAGTGAATAGATTCCTACATCCATCAAACTGAGTGGCATTCAACTTTGAGAAACTTCCCCTAAAATACTAAATTTGTAGATATCTTCTAACTCTCTGTAAATGAAATCAACTTCAAAGTTACTAGATTAGATATTGGAAGAGTAAAAGCTATTCAGCAGTCTGGGCTACAGCAGCAATAAAGCATTCATCTGAAGTGACTGAATGTAGTGCTCACATTCAACTTTGTTTTTTCCCAGGTTTATAATCACAATGGCAGGAGTGGCGTGTTGTCTCACCCCGACAGCCTGGTCAGACAGAAGCGCGAATGGACAGTCCCTCCAGCTTTCATACGGGAAGAGGAGGACAATTCCTATAAGAATCCAATTGCTAGAGTAAGCCCAGAAAAGAGATAAAATGCAGCATACACAAGAAAATAGAGATGAAAATGTAAATTAAGCATGTGATGGCACAAAACATATGCACAAACATTTCTTGGATTTTAAAGGATTATTGAAAGTCAGTTGAAGACTGACGCATTTCCTTCTTTTTTATTCCTTCAGTAGATGAGTTGCTCTTACAGCCTGATGGGCTCAGTCCCTCATCTTTTCCCAGCCACCAGTTTTCATAAAACCTTTGTGAATTATTATCTTTGATAATGAATATCTTTGATTTTTTTCACTCAACCACTCCTAATCAGCTGTGGTTGCACTTGCCAAGTAGGTCCAAAAACTGCTGGTGGTGACTGGGCAAAAGGATGTACACAGGGCATGTTTAATGTATGCCTGATATTTTAGGAAACAGCTAAAAATAACCAAGATGTTATCCTTTGTGCAAGTGTGATACGCATACATGATTTACACACCTGTCACTTCAGCATATAAGGTAACTGCTCATGGTAGCAGGGTGTTAGTCCTGCTTGGGCTGCCCCTTGATGGTGATGCTGGCACAATGCATGTGTGCTTTTCCAGATGTTTCAGATATTTGCTGACAGCAGAGTATATTCTCTATGCAGCCTCTTCTACCTGTTCGTCTCCAGGTCTGACCTTTCTTCCTCCACCTTATCACCACCTCAGGCCTGGTCACACTCGCTAGCTTGGGTATATTCTCCCTTTAAAAGTTGTCATATTTAACTTCCAGGCTTTGCTCAAGTAACTTCAGTCTCCCCTGCTCAACTAATTTACTTCAGACGTTTTGGTTTTTTTATTTCCCCCCCTTGGTCTTTCTCCACATTTTATTTGCCCCTATCCATTTGATCAACCGGTTTCTTTCCTCTTCCCTTCCTTCAGCTTTTCACTGTATCACAGTGGTTTACCAGCCTTTACTTGCACTTGTATCATCTCTCACTCTTTGTTCAAGCAGCCCAGATTTTCTTCTCCCTCACACCTCTCCATGTTTCCCAGCTGTTACACTTCCATCATGTTCCTCATCTCTCTGTATGAAATCCTCAGACAGAACGTGTAACTCTTCCTGCATTTTTATCTGCATCTTCACATGCAAAGGAGTGCAGGAAAATCTGTTTAGTATTTATTTTTGTTCACTAATTACAAAAATAGCAAAAATATTTTAATTGCATTTTTAAATGTGGTTTTATTTACCAATCGCTATTTAATCTCTTATATTCCTGCTAGATACATTCTGATCTTGAAGATACAGGGGTAGTGGTGACTTATACTATATCTGGTCAAGGAGTAACAGAACCCCCTTATGGATTATTTGTTATCAATGGAAAGACTGGAGACCTGAACATAACAGGAAGGGTTGACAGAGAAAAGACTCCAATGCTGCTTGTAAGTTGAATGGTAACTTGTTCCTTATAGGTGCCTATCCATTTTTTATTTATTTTGTTCAAATGTGTTTGCTTCAATTAGTTTTAAGGTTTCTGGATATTTGTGTGTGTATATGCATGCTTATATTTATAAGCATATTATATATGCTTATATAATGCTTACATTTTGTTTTATATTTGTATTTTGTGTATGCATTTATATATGTTATGGTCACTTGTATTTTCTTACTGTTTCTGTCTGTATTATTTCAGCTCAGAGGTCATGCACTAGATAAGACTGGAGCAAAACTGGAAGAGCCAATAGACCTCCCAATTAAAATTGTGGATATAAATGACAACTTTCCAGTGTTTTCACATGAAGTTTTTGTTGGTTCAATTGAAGAATTAAGTGAAACGGGTAACATTATTTTTAGATGTTTTTTTTTGTTAATTTAGCTTTTCCCAACACATGCAAGAGCACAAGTGAATATACTCTTCGCAGCTGCATATCTGTAGTAACAAGGATGCGTTCTGTGGCTTGCATAGGGCAGGTTCTCCACATATGAATGCAAGATTTTATTCAGGGCTAAACTGCGTGATGTGACCATCCACTTGGGGGAGGTATTGAGTTCCCTCAGCTCTTCTTCAAGTCAGTAGCAGCCATATGGTAGTTGCTTCTTTGCCTGAATTACAGCTACTGTTCAAACTCAGGCACTGGATGCTGAGGTGCACCCATTCCCAGAAGACAGAATCCTGTGCCAGGAGTTATAAGGGGATTGCACCATGGAGACCACCATGTGTTTTGAGTGAAGCTGCTGGGAGGGCATCAATACAGAGCAATTGTTTTAATAACATTCAGATAGAGGAGTTAGTAGAGCTCCCTTTAGAATAATGTGTGAGGGAAATGCAGCTTGTTGTTTACAATCTTTTTCTTCTCTGTATGATATCTACCATTTTCTGGCAGAATTTTTGAGGTAATTTAACCTGTTCTGTGATTCTGCCGCACTGAGTTCTATGAGTTACAGATGTGTGGGTACAATCTTTTTGTTTGCCAGAGGATATACTGTTAACATGCACTATTCGGATTTCAGGAATGCTTCTTGAGCTCTATTCGGTAAATAAGTAAAGGCAAGAGCATCAGAAAACTGTGCAGTGCATCTGACAATCTGTGACATTACAGTAAAAATACTTGGCAGTGCATGGCAGTGCAAGCACACTATATTTTGTTTGCTTTCTTCCAGGTACAATTGTAATGAGGATAAATGCAACAGATGCAGATGAACCAAATAACCTAAATTCCAAAATTGCTTTCAGGATTGTTTCTCAAAGCCCCAGCACTGCATTCAGTATGAATAAGGATACTGGCGAGGTTCGAGTAGCAAAAATAAACCTTGACAGAGAGGTAAAACAGAACCCTCCCATTTTTCATCTGTTGACTGCTGTTTTCTGATGCCTGTTGTCTCATCTTCAGCTCCATCTGCTGGGCTGGAGAACTGGCCCTCTTGCCTTCCTTCACCTCCCTTGGGATTAAAGCTGACGCATGTTTTTGAGGGATTGGAGGTGAGGGTGGTGACAGGATCAAGGCTGTCAGGAACAAGGCTCTATTCCCCCTGTCACCTCTAGCAGAGCACCAACCTGATGGCTGTTGCTTTCTGTCCCTCCTGTATAGCTAGGGCAGCAGCTACATGAACCAAAGGGTCACTTCTCTGTGCTGGGAAGAGTATGGCAAAGACAACCCAGATCCCCATCTGCAAAGCTGCAGGTTGCATCTAGAGTTCTGTAGCCTGCTGTGAAAATCACAGTGCCAGGAGTTACGATGGATGCTGCTGTGGGATGTCATTGAAAGCCACATCTAACCAGCAGCTCTGCCTGTGCTTGCATGAATTTTCACCAGCAGATGGTGATGTGGATGTTAGCTCTCTGGCTGAGGGCAATCTCTCTGCCTCTGTCCCTCTGCAGACATGTCCATCACTGGTCCTGACCCTGTTTATGGCTACTGAAATCTTTTCATTTGCCGTATAAGTAAAGTCTAACCCTTGGTGGGGGAGATGCAAAAGCCTCAGATCATTTTCAAAGCTTCAGCTCTAATCCAGCAGAGCCTGTCAAGGTACTTTTGTGTGAGATTTACTACCAGCGAGAGAGAAGAGGAGTTGCAATTGGCCATGGGAGGGATTACTGAAATGTTAGAGAGAATACAGTGAAGGAAAAATTTTTAGCCTGGTTTAAGCACTTTTTTCTTATTGTGGCAGACACAAAGTAGCTATTCATTGGTGGTGGAAGCGAAAGACCGTGGTGGTGAATTACATGGAAATGCTGCAACGTGTTCTTTAGAAATCAAGATTTTGGATGTCAATGACAATCTGCCAGTGGTTGAAAGTAGCGCAGTAAGTACATTTATCACAATATGTGGTGTATTCCTTCACCTGCCATTATCCTATTGTTTAATAGGAGGTTTTGCAAAATTTCTTGCACTGGTGAAATGAGGTAAATCATGACATCTTTTTAAAGAAGAATATTTTTTTTTATTGCAGTTTGAAGGAAGCATAGAAGAAAACACAGCAAATGTGGAAATTCTGCGAATAAAAGTATTTGACAAAGATGAAGAGTTTTCTGACAACTGGCTGGCAAATTTTTCATTTGTTTCTGGTAATGAAGGTGGCTTTTTTCATATAGCAACAGATACCAAAACAAATGAAGGCATTTTAACTGTTGTGAAGGTTGGTATATCTTTGGAGAGTCGTCTTTAAATATGAGAATAATTTATTCCTTTAAGTTGACATAACAAGTTATTTATAATCAGTCAGTGTGTAAAGTGTACGTTTACATGGTGGACACTGCTCCTTTGGCATATTTTGTGTTGGTGTGTTCAGTAATTCCACGCGAAAGAATAATTTTGTCCAGCTTTACCATTTACATTCTGTGTGATCTCCAATATATCTGGTGTTTTCTTTTTGTTGGGCATCAGTGCTAACACATACGCTGTGAACGTTCCCATATTTTTGCTCTCCTTGCTGGTCTCAGTTTAAATTTCTTTATATCCCATGGACCCAGATAACATTGCAGGCAACACCTACTCCATGAACCATGGGTTACAGAGTATTTAAGTTATGAAAAATATTTTCCATAAATGGAAATTTCTGGTTTATGAATTTCATTCTCCTTTAGTCCACAAGAACTAAAGATGCACAGTGCCTTAAGTACCTTTTTTCTTTTTTCTTTTTCTTTTTTCTTTTTTTCTTTTTTCCTTTTTTTCCTTTTTTTTTCTTCTGCTCTAGTTTCCTTATCTGAAAACTGGTATTTATGAAAAAAAAGCATTATTAAGTAAATTAATTGGTTATCAAAAAAAGTAAAATAGGAAGAGCCAAGTAATACTGAGCACTGATTCACTGAAATTAAAGACAGAATATATGGGTAGGACTCATTGTACCTCTCAAGTTTTTTTTAAATTCAATAATATATAGACATACCTACAATGTCATCCATTAAAAATAAGAAGAGTAATCTTCCTTATGTACTTTTAAAGAGTTGAAACTCTATGTATTGAGAGTCAACACATTAACCAACGGTTCTTTGCAGTGTAGCATCATTAGTATTTAAATAAGGATGCTGCAGTCTTAATAGTGTTATTTAAGTGTATGAATATTGTTTAGATACCTGATTCTGTCAAATTCCGAGTGTAGTTTGTTGTTGTTGTTTTTTATTGCTTTAGGAACTGGACTATGAAAAAATGAAAAGCCTAAACTTGGGCATTGTTGTTACAAATAAAGCAGAGTTCCACAAGTCAATTAAACACAATTATAAAGCACAGACAATTCCAATCAGAATTAATGTGATTAATGTGCGGGAAGGCCCTGTATTCCCCGGTGGCACAAAAGTTATTGAAGCAAGTGAGAAACTGCAGATAAGACAGGTTATTGGACAGTATCAAGCCTATGATGAAGACACTGGAAAAGTAGCAAAGCACATTAGGTAAGAATCTTTTATAACCATCATAACTGCGTATGTCAGGAATCACATCTTACTGTAAAAATGTGTATATAGGACTGAATTAATTTCAGAGTCAATAATTTTCTACTACGCATAATTCACACCTAAAACAACTTCAATATTCTATTATGCAGAAAATAACTGACTTGAAAATCCTACTTGTTTGATCATACATGGTGGGACATGAGTGTTTGTGATGAAATTGTCTGTGCTTGCATGCTGTTTGTCATGCCTGTCTACTTTTGAGAGGAGATTTACTTGTCTGACTTTATTGTCTGCAGAAATGTTAGAAGGAAATATATAGAAGCGTTGGACAGAAAGGGTGTAAAGTAGATAAGCCTGTGTGTGCATGTGTGTGTTTTTTTAGATTTTGAATCGCAGCTTTTCAGCTAAAATGTGCAATCACCACTGTGGGTTTTACAAATGGTGCAGACCAGCAGAGGTGCATACCCAGCGGTGGAACCCTGTCCCCTGTGCCTCTAATACAGTCTCTCCTGGGTGGCTGCTGCTCAGCTTTTGCTGGGAGCAGGGATGGAGGGGAAGAAGACCACGACTGGCAGCACAGCTCCCTCTCCTGCTCTGATCTTGCTCTCTGAGCCTGCTTTTTATAGTGCCTGCACAGCTAAATGCTTGCCTCAGAGGGAAAAGCAGGTTTCACCATTCAGGGTAGGTTTATAATCTTAGGTTTATAGCTGAAACCAATTCCAGTGGCAGGCATGTCGGACCTCAGACCTAAGGATTTGCTCTCTGCTTTATACAAAGAGTAAACATACTGTGAAGCTGCTCTTTCTGCTGATGATTGCTTTCTTCATTGTAAATGTGGACATCTTTATATGCAATTTTAATCAGATATGTGAAAGGAAGAGATACAGCAAACTGGATCACGATAGACTCAGTCACAGGTGAAATCCGACTTGCCAAAGAACTCGATTATGAATCACCTCATGTAGTAAATGGTACCTACACTATCACCATGTTGGGTGTAACTACTGGTAAGTTGAGCAGTTTTTGTTTTCACACTGATTGGTTTAGTATGGGTTTAGTTTGCCTTTCTGCAACTATAATTGTTTTAACCTCCCTATCTCTATCCACCTGAAAGTTAGGCACCTGGTGCAGTTCCCACAGACTCTATATTTGGAGGGGAGACACGAGCACCTCGTTGAAATAAGAGGAGCCTTGGAATGGGTTCCCCAGGTGCCCACTTATCTGGCTAGATGCAGATGAACGTTTTGTAAAAGTTTTGATAGGAACATCCCTTGTCAAGGTGGAAATCGCTAGTATCTCAGTGTGCTAATCAGCAGACTTCAGATTCCTAAGTTTTCTTGAATGCTAAGCAAGAAAGACTCCCTGAACTTCTTGTATCTGGTTGGTTATTGTGAAACCATCCACAGGAAATATGTTATTTTTTTTTGTAAGTCAAAATAGTAAAACAACTTCACTTCAGAAGAACTTTGTCAATATGTTTATTAACATTAGGAATAAAATACTGTTCCCATAAGCTCCAGGGAGAGCTCTTTCAACTTATTTCAGCAATGCCGATGTTTTGGAAAGTTACCAGTTTTTTCTTGTTTTAGGGTGAAATTTTTGCACTTTCAAATCAATCTAACTTTTCATATTTTAAAATCTTAGATTTTCCTAAGAAAACAGTCACCGGCACAGTCGTCATTCAAGTTAAAGATGAGAATGATAACTGCCCAGTTATTGTGAACCCTGTGCAGACTGTGTGTTCAGACGCAAAATTAGTTGATGTTACAGCTAGTGATTTGGATGGTTACCCAAACAGTGATCCCTTCAGCTTTACTGTCATTGATGAGCCAGAAGGGACAGCAAAAAACTGGATAATTGCATCCATAAACGGTAAGAAAATATATTTTTAATTACTTTCAGTTCTTTGGAGTTCTAGTGTTGTAATTTGTTAATTCCAGTCAAACTGACAGTTTTATATTAACCCATATATATGGAGTCAATCATGAAGACACATAGCTTATGTTCTGCTCCCTCTAATGGCTATAAAGGCACACTCATATCTTCTGGGGTCTGTCACCTTCCCTCTGTTGGACCTTCTTTGCCTAGCTTGACCTATATGTGGTGACCAGGATTTCATGGATAGTGCTAGGAACAAGCCATTCCCATCTTCCCACAAAAAACATGCAGTGATGGAAGATGCCTTTTGTTAAAATAGATTGTGGAGATACGGTTGTGTTACTGGCTGCAGTTGTTCTAACTTACAAATAAATAAATAAATCTGTCTGCACTTACAAAAGAAATACAGTGTAACCTATGATTGTCTGGCACAGTAGGAATAAAAATAAGCCAGAAATAATACATAATTTTACTAAGTATTTCAAAATGAGATTAGTATTTCCTTCTTTCGTTTCCGTTCATATAAGCCTGGGAAATGCTTGAAGAAAATGACTTCAAGTTGGGAGGGAATGTTGTTCTGCCTGAGG